ATCATTGGTGGCCCATAGTTTTTACTGTTAGAACAGGGTTATTAATTTCATCCATTATATAAAGGATTCGAAGAGATGGAAGTGCAATGAGAATTAAAATTACAGCTGGAAGAGTAGTTCAAATTGTTTCTACTTCTTGAGCATCTATTGTGCTTGTGTGAGTTAATTTTGTAGTTAATATTAGTGTAATAATATATAATACTAAAGAGCTAATTAAGAATACAATTATTAGAGTATGGTCATGAAAATTTGTTAATTCTTCTATAATAGGTGATGTGGCATCTTGTAAACCTAGTTGGAATGAATAAGCCATATAAGATATATAGGTATTATTCTATAATTTAACTTTGACAAAGTTATGTAATTATTTTACTAATATCTCATTGAGAAAGACATAGAGGTTATGGGATTGGCTTGAAACCAGTTTAAGGGGGTTCGAATCCTTCCTTTCTTATTTTACTTTTACGTAGGTAGGTTCTTCAAATGTATGATATGGTGGTGGGCAGCCATGTAATCATTCTAAATTTGTTTATGAATATTCTACTGATAAGACTTCGCGTTTTGAAGCAAAAGCTTCTCAGATTATAAAAATTATTACTAATATGGCAGTTAGTGAAATAAATGATCCTATTGAAGATACTGTATTTCATGTGGTATAAGCATCTGGGTAATCAGAGTATCGTCGTGGTATACCTGATAATCCTAGGAAATGTTGTGGAAAAAAGTTAAGTTTACTTCTACAAATATGATGGTGAAGTGGGCTTTAGCTCATGTATCATTAATGGTAAAGCCTGTAAATAGTGGGAATCAATGAACGAATCCTGCTATGATGGCAAATACAGCTCCTATGGACAGTACATAGTGGAAGTGGGCTACTACATAGTATGTGTCGTGGAGAACAATATCTAGAGAAGAATTTGATAGTACAATTCCTGTTAGTCCTCCTACTGTGAATAAGAAAATAAAGCCTAAGGCTCATAGTATTGCTGGTGATCATTTAATATTTCCTCCATGAAGAGTAGCTAGTCAGCTGAATACTTTTACTCCTGTTGGGATAGCGATAATTATGGTAGCAGATGTAAAATAGGCTCGTGTGTCTACATCTAATCCTACTGTAAATATATGGTGGGCTCATACAATAAATCCTAAAAATCCGATAGATATTATAGCTCATACTATTCCTATGTAATCAAATGGTTCTTTTTTGCCTGAATAGTAAGTTACAATATGGGAAATAATTCCAAATCCTGGTAAAATAAGAATATAAACTTCAGGGTGTCCAAAAAATCAGAATAGATCTTGGTATAGAACTGGGTCTCCTCCTCCAGCAGGGCCAAAGAAGGTTGTGTTTAAATTTCGGTCGGTTAATAATATAGTAATTCCTGTGGCTAAAACTGGAAGGGAGAGTAATAATAGAACAGCTGTAATAAGGACAGATCATACAAATAGTGGTGTTTGGTATTGTGTTATAGCTGGTGGTTTTATATTAATAATAGTTGTAATAAATTTAATAGCCCCTAGAATTGAGGAAACCCCTGCTAAATGTAGAGAAAAAATGGTAAGGTCTACTGATGCTCCGGCATGTGCTAGGTTACCGGCTAAAGGAGGACACACAGTTCAGCCTGTGCCAGCCCCAGCTTCTACTATAGATGATGCCAGTAGGAAGAGGAACGATGGTGGTAATAGTCAGAAGCTTATGTTATTTATACGTGGGAATGCTGTCGGGCTCCAATTATTAAAGGGACTAGTCAATTACCAAAACCCCCAATTATTATTGGTATTACTATAAAGAAAATTATAACAAATGCATGGGCAGTGACGATTACATTATAAATTTGATCATCACCTAATAAGGCCCCCGGCTGCCCTAGTTCTGCTCGAATTAGGATGCTTAGAGCTGTTCCTACTATACCTGCTCAAGCCCCGAATAGAAGACATAGTGTTCCGGTGTCTTTATGATTGGTAGAGAATAATCAACGATTAACGAACACAGGTAAAATGGCTGAGTAAGCATTAGACTGTAAATCTAAAGACAGAGGTTTAATCCCTCTTTTTACCAAGCCTTAAGGTGATATTCATGTCGAATTGCAAATTCGAAGGTGTAGAAAACTACTCTACTAAGGCTTCTCCCGCCCCTTTTCTGATAGGCGGGAGAAGTAGATTGAAGCCAGTTTAGGGTGTTTAGCTGTTAACTAAAAGTTCATAGGTTTAATTCCTATCAATCTAGATGAGGATTTAGCTTAATTAAAGTGATTGATTTGCATTCATTAGATATAAGATGTAGTCTTACAGTCCTTATGCAGAAGTTAAACTTTTAGTTTACTTAGAACTTTGAAGGCTCTTGGACTTTTTATCCTAAACTTCTTTATATAATTAGTAGTGGTGAGAGTGGTAATGTTATGGTACTTAGGATTGTTAAGGAGGGGAGAATAATGTTATTTTTGTAGTTGGAGTGGTGGAGTGTTATTATTTGTTGGGAATGTAGTTAGTGTGGTGGAATAAATTAGACGTGTATAAAAGAATAAGTTGATTAAGGATGTTATTGCTATTAGTGTGGCTGTGATAGTATTATTATTTTTTAATAATTTGGTAATGATAATTCATTTTGGTAAAAACCCTGTTAATGGTGGTAGGCCTCCTGTGGATAGTAAAATAATAGAAATTGTTGGGAGTATTATTGGTGTTTTGTTTCATATAAGTGATATAGAATTGATGTTGGTGGATGAGTTATATTTTATGATTATAAATATTGGTACTGTTAGGCTAATATAAATTATTAAGTTTAGTATGGTAAGGGATGGGTTGAATGGTAGTACAGCGATTATCCATCCTATGTGGCTAATAGATGAGTAGGCTATAATTTTGCGTGTTTGTGTTTGATTCAGTCCGCTTCACGCTCCGATTAGGACTGATATAATGGCTGATGTTATTAGGATAATAGGGTTTGTTATTTGATATGTTTGAAATAGAATTGATATTGGGGCAATTTTTTGTCATGTAAGCAGGATTATGCCTGTTTGGGTTGAAATTCCTTGAGTTTCTTCTGGTAGTCATGAATGGAATGGTGCAAGTCCTATTTTTATTGCTAGGGAGATGAATATTAATGTTATGATGTAATTATTTGTTTGTGGTTGTAATGTTCATATCCCTATTTGTTTATATTTAAGAACAATTGATAGTAGAAAAATTATTGAAGCTGTGGCTTGGGTTAGGAAGTATTTTGTTGCTGCTTCTGTTGATCGTGGGATTGTGTTTTTTATTATTAGTGGAATTAGAGCTAGTAAGTTTATTTCAAGGCCAACTCATATAAGAAATATTTTTGTGCTTAGTATGGTGATTATGGGGCCTAGGAAAATTGTAAAGTAAATAATGAAAAGTGTAATTGGGTTAATTAGTACGGGATTTAAACCGTTTTCGGGGTATGGGCCCGATAGCTTAATTAGCTGACCTTACTATTTAGGATAAGGTGTTTAGGTAGCACGTAGAATTTTGAATTCTTAGGTATAGGTTCAATTCCTATTATCCTAGAAATAAGAGGATTTAAACCTCTATTATTTACTCTATCAGAGTAACACTTTTATCAGACATATTTCTAGGTGTAAGGAGGAATGCTTGCTATGAAAATTGGGATTGAGATATGTCATATACATAGGGCTAGTGTTAGTGGTAGGAAATTTTTTCATAGTAGATGTATTAGTTGGTCATATCGAAATCATGGATATGATGCTCATACTCATAGAAATAGAGTGGTGAGTGCTAGTGCAGTCTTTGACAGAAACGACGCCCCATACCCACTCAACCACAATTTTTTCTTTTTTAAAAAACAAGAGTCAGGGATGATAGATTCACAACATGCCCCCATGGTTGGGCATGGTTGCACATGTCCGGCAGACCTAGACACTTCCGCCTAGCCAGCTCTGGGTCAAAATAGCCAGTTCTGGGTCAAAATAGCCAGTTCTGGGTCAAAATAGCCAGTTCCGGGTCAAAATGTCTCTTGTGACCAGGACCCCGTGGATTTGCATGGTTGCGTAAAGCACACAAGGCAACTGTGTAATCTATGTGCATGCGTGGAGTAGCCACATGACCCTGTGTATGCATGTGCGACCCAGCCTTTATAAGCCGGCACCATATTCCCGATTCCTTCTTTATGCACATGTCCTTTCAACAGGCCTGAGCACACCTGTCTCTCTCTCTCTCTTATCTTAATAAAACTCTTGTTAGTGGATTCTGTCATGTTTCGTGACATTTCCTTGCAGGGTAAGAGCGCCGCCAAATAACTAACAGTGATTATGTCATTTTGGGAAGCTGGGCATATGAGGATAACATGGGGGGCCTAGGGCTCCCCTTTCTCTTGCCTCCATCTAAGCTCTCTTCCTTCATACCCAGCTTTGTTGTCTCCCAAACTTATCAGAACCCCCTTGCTCTTCCATTCCTCAGAATGAATGTCCATCCCCTTCTTCTGATTCCCTTTAGTCCACTTGGAACTTTCCGGTTCCCAGGTGAGCCAGTCAGCAAGGCTCTGACCCCTGAGGGCAAGCTGGCCTTAGAGTTCTACCCAGGTCTCCAAAGGGCCTCTGGTTCTGACACCTGCATTTAGTGAAGCCAGACTTGGGTGGAGAACAGAAACTTGAGGCTAAAGAGGAAGTAGGGAATTGTGGGTGTTGCTGGGGAGAAACAAGCACACTCTTACTTCACTGTGGTTTCCTGGGCTTTCTCAGCTTTCCTCACCCCGTCTTATGAGGCAGGAGACTACAGTTTCTCTGTAAGCCTTTATCTAGTACAGTTCAGGAGCCTAGCTACAAAGCCTGTGGCTGGAGGATCCACAGGGCCACACGGGCCTTGCTCAGCTTCCCTCTTGTCCACGGAGGTCTCTGCTTCCTCGGCAATTCATCCCACACTGGCTGTGGTGGCTGCCTGGATCCTGCCCTGCCCTGGTCTCTTCTTCTCAGAGCATTCCTAGTCCTTCCCTTCCTGCCCCATCCCAGCTGAGAAGAGGACCTATGGCCTGGGAGGCCACATGCCTGCTATCCTCCATCCTGCTGGTGCTCCTGGCCTCAGGTGAGAACAGGGGACAAGGACAGAGGGAAGGAACCAGGGAGAGGGAAGGGCAGGGGTTGGGAGGTGTGCACAGATGGGCTCTGTGGTTGGGAATGCAGAATACATGGAGTGTTGTGGCCAGCGGCTGGCTCTAAGCTCCGTCCCGAGTAAAGACACAAAGAAATGAACCCATCTCCTTGCCCTGCTGTGGAGGCTGGGGGCTCTCTGACTGAAGGATGTTTTCTCAGGTTCCCAGGTACGTGACACGGTGTTACATCATACAGTGGAGGGCAAGACCGTTGTGGTGAGATGCCAGTATGATTCCAGCCAGCGCTTCAAGAAGAAGGTGTGGTGTCAGGAAACACCAGGAAAAACTTGTGAAATCTTAGTGTCCAGTCTCAGCACAAGTACTCAGAGGCCAAAATTCTCCCTCCAGGACTATCCTGATTATCAATTCTTCACTGTCACCATGACTGCGCTCACAGTGAGAGACTCGGGTCCTTATTTCTGTGGGATTGCTGAAAATCTCACAACGATCTCTGTTCTCAGAAACATCCACCTGAAGGTGTCGAAAGGTGAGCTCCCCCATTCTATATGGCTCTCTCAGCCTTCCTGAATCACAAGGCTCCAGAGCTGGAGAGGACTCTAGAAACTGCTTCCCCAATTGCCTGGAAACTGGAGTACAGGGAAGAAAGGCCCCTCCCCCAAGGCCACCTTCTGGTTCAGGGCAGAGTCAACCCTAGAACCAGGCTTGCTGGCCTCTAGGCAGTTCTAACCAGTTACTCTTAACACTTCTGCTACTGCTGCTGCTGCTGCTGCTGCTACTGCTGCTGTTGCTGCTGCTGCTGCTGCTGCTATTGCTGCTGCTGCTGCTGCTGCTGATAGAAATCAGTTTGTAGAAGGATCTTATGGCTCCCCTGAGCTGTCACAGCCATCCTTTCCTGAACATCCCTTGACTGTAATCCCATCAGAAACGTTCTCTGTAGGCTTGGTGGGCTCCATCACATGAGAGAGACCTCAGAGCAGATGGACAGGGCACTGAGAGATGTGGACTGAGAGGAGACAGCTAGACCGAGAGGCACACAGGAGGCTTCGTGGGTAAGGTTAGCAGATGGAGGTCCTCATTCAGGATCTGCCCTTGACAACTGAGAACCTCAGAGCTCTGGGAAGGTGGCCCAGTAACAGGATTTTCCTAAGGGCCTGCCCCGAGAAAGTTCCTCCCAGAGTCTTGGAGAAGATGCTACATCCAGTGTGAGGTTATCTCGGGGAAAAGAATCTATGTAAACTATAGCCTATATCTGTTTATTTCTCTAGGACAAAATTCTATCTATACAAGTTCCGTCCTGACTCCCAGCTCCTCTCTGTACCTACTTTTTCTGTACCCTCATAGCCCTAGTAATAACTGAGCCCTTACACTTTTGACCTCTCTTTGTCCTCTGTTCCTTCATCCTCCATCTTTCTTTCCTTGCTCCTTACTCCTGGCTCTGAGAAAACTCTACAAGACATCTGCCTTACCATCTACAGAATATCTGCCTTTCTCTCTTCTCTCTGGTATGCAGCTCTGTCCACCATCTACAGAAAAACTGCCTTGTTCTTCCTCTCCTCACCATGTGACTCTCTGCTGCCAGGAATTCTGCCTCACCCTTCACTCCACCTGAATATGCAAAAGCCCCCTTTGTCCTGAGTCAGTTGCTCTAGAATGCCATTTTCCTGTCTGGGGAAGGGAGGCCTGAACTTCATTTGCACAAGAAGCAAAGCTATGCATCTACAGCCTGCCAGTCTCCTAGGCCCAGCAGGGATGTTAGTTACCTAGTAGATCAGCAGTAGGTCTGAGAAACTTAGCTGTTTGCCAAAATGGCCTAATAGTATATGGGCCACAAGAATTTCATAGCAGCAGACAGCCGAAATATTAAAAACTGAATAACACCAAATATTCCTTGGTAAATGGCTTCCTCTAGAAAGATGCCTTGAAATTTCTAGGTGTAGCTTTAATATACAGCTGAATCTCTGTAACATATTCTTGTGGCCCACAAGAGCCCAGCAGCCTCTCCTGATGACTTGGTTCTCCTGTGTGTCTCATGCTGAAGACTGCAGTGGTGGAGGGCTTTCTGAGTTAGTCTTTCATGTTCATAAGTTCACAAGTTGAACAACCTCTCCTAGCTCTCCCTGCTCCAGAGTATGTCCAGCCCTTCGGTTCCATGGGTGCCTGGAGGTTATTTTTATGAAAGTTTTGCCCCAGGCACACTCCATGTTGGGAGGCATTAGTTGTGACCTTCATATGTTCCAACATAGGGGAACCAGGATGGGGAGACACTCAGCCAATAAAGTGCTTGCCAAGTGTGATGGTTTTAGTTGTCAATGTGACAGAACCTAGAATCACCAGGGAGACAAGCCCCTGGCTACACCTGTGAGGGATTATCTTAACTTGAGGTGGGAAGACCTATTCTAAAAGTGGGCGGCTCCATTCCCTGAGCTTGGAGTATAAAAGTATAAAAGGGAAAGTGGCCTGAGAACATTCATTGTTCTCTACTTCCTGACTGGATGCACTGCAACCAGCTGCTTCCTGTTCCTGTTGTCTTGACTTCCTGCTGTGATGGATAGTACTCTGAACTGTTCCTGTTGTCTTGAGTTCCTGCTGTGATGGACTGTACTGTCAACTGTTCCTGTTGTCTTGAGTTCCTGCTGTGATGGACTGTACTCTGAACTGTTCCTGTTGTCTTGAGTTCCTGCTGTGATGGACTGTACTGTGAACTGTTCTTGAGTTCCTGCTGTGATGGACTGTACTGTGAACTGTTCCTGTTGTCTTGAGTTCCTGCTGTGATGGACTGTACTCTGAACTGTTCCTGTTGTCTTGAGTTCCTGCTGTGATGGACTGTACTCCGAACTATATGCTACAACAGACTCTTTGGATTAGGAAAGCAGCTGAACACTTTAAGCCAGACTTAATGAGCCATACTATTAGGAATGTTGAAGACAGTGGTGCTGAAGGTGATTTGAACTGTGTGTGGGCCTGGATCAGGAGGTTTAAGAGGAGAATATTAATATGTGACCTAGAGATCATTTTTTGTAATATTTTGGTGAAGAATGTGGCTATTTTCTTTCCTTGTTTGAAAATCTGCCTGAGGCTAAAATGAAGAGTTATGGATTAATGGCTTTGACAGAGGGGATTTCCAGACAGCCTAGTATTGACTGTGTTGCTTGGTTATCAGTGGCCAATGCTTATACAGATCAATAATGAAAAAGAGCAAGGAAAAATACAAAATATACAGTTTGAGGAGAAAAGGAGACACCAGGAAATGTAAACAGATTAAAGAAAAGCCTGCTACTAAGTGGAATAAAAGGAGTGGTGACCTCATAGAAAGACTCTACCCAGCTAAGTGAAAAGGAATTAAAGAAAAATGAAAAGGGGCAAGGTGGCACATGCCAGGAGGCAGAGGCAGGCAAGCCTCTGAGTTCAAGGCCAGCCTGGTCTAAGAGTAAGTTTCCAGACAGCTAGACTTAAGCAATGAAGTAAATCATAAAGCTGGTAAAAATATATACATATTTGAACAATAGGGCCATATTCCAGCCCTTGAAAACAGCAGAAGTTAGCATCTTTAGCCATGTGGTTCTGGCTTTAGAGTCAAGGATACAAAAAAGTGATTATGGAATCTCCCTCTGCAATTAAGGAAAGCCACTGAGGCCAGATGTGTGTCAGGGGTGTCCCTGCATGGAGGCCTGGTGAGGCCATTACATAAAGCTGTCAAAGTAAAGCCTAGATTTTGTTGAATACTCCAAGATATTTGAGATACCAGAGTCATGGGATACCTGCCAAGGAAAGCTTATTAACAGGGAGTGGAACCAGCCCAAGAGAAAGAAGTGTGTTGCAGTCAACGAAGCTGAAAGGAGTTGGAGATCTGAAGGGAGCTTTGACATAGTGATGCAGAATTTGGAGTTTGCCCAGACCGTTTTTGGTGTATCTTTGGTCCAGTATTTTCTCACTATGCTCCCTTTTCTCCTTTTTGGAATGGTAATGTATGTTCTATATCATTGTATGTTAGAAGTATATAATATGCTTTTTATTTTTATTTTACAAGGGTTACAGTTAAGAGATTGTCATAAGTCTCTAAAGAAATTTTGGGCTTTGGACTTTTAAACAGACAAAAGATCAGTTGAGACTGATAGGCTATGGGACTTTTGAAATTGGACTGAATACATTTCTGTATCATGATATGGCTACAAGCCACTGGGGGCCAGGAAGTGGAATGTGGTGGTTTGAAAGAAAATGCCCCCCATAGGATCATAGAGAGTGGCACTATTAGGGAGTGTGGCCTTGTTGGAGTAGGTGTGGCCTTGTTGGAGTAAGTGTGTCACTGAAGGTGGGAATTGAGGTTTTAAATGCTTAAGCAAGGCTTGTACGACTCCCTCTCCCCACCATCTCTTTCTTTCTTCCTACTGTGTAGATGTAACCAACGGACTTATAAAATAAGAAACACAGAGCCAATTCAGAGAAGAAAGCCAAGAGGTCAGAGCTAAGAGCCTCACCCTTTCTGATTCAGGGATCCTCTCCAGCCAAGAGAGCTCTCCGAAAAGGCCTACTTCCTGTGTGTCTGTCTTTAAAGTCTTCCTGTTCTGCCTTCTCATTGGTTGTAAACCCAAACATGTGACTGCCTCGTCACTGCCTGAATGTACCGCCCTCCAGGTCCTTAAAGGTGTGCGCCACTGCCGCCACGCACTTGCTATGGCTCCAATAGCTCTGACCCCCAGACAACTTTATTTATTAACATACAATTAAAATCACATTTCAGTACAAGTAAAATACCACCACATTTCCCCTTTTCTATTTTAATAAAAAGGAAAAAAAAGAAAAAGGTTATAACTAACAAAAGAAAAACTATATACAAAAGTACAATGACTATATACAATATATACAAGTAATAAATGTCTAAACAATGTCTAGTCCATTTGTATTTGACAAATTCAGAGAACATAATTTCATTATCTATCCTATTTTGTTAAGTCCAAAATGTATCTAATTCACTTTCTATCCTAATTAATCTTCAACTATAACTAACTAACCTTCAACTATAACTACCTAATCTTCAACTCCCTCAGAGACCCAAGAAGGAAATATTAGCTAACAAAAATAAAAACAGAAAGTGCATGCAAGCAACTTCCAAAAAATTTGTGAGTTGACAGAAACAGCCAGCTGCCTGGACAGTCACCTGAGGTTTCTCCACAGTGTTGGGGCATCATCTTCAGCCTATAGGCTTAGCGTATCTGACAGACTCATTTGTGAAGTAGGATGTACACAAGGTCATCAGTTCAACCTCACATTGGGTGAGAGCAGTCCATGTACCAGAAACACCTGAATTCCACTAGTGTCATGTCATGATTCAGGATTTTAAATTCTGGAAATTGTTGTTGGTTTTTTAATTCAGTTGTCCATTCTTCTTGGCTGTGTGTATATGGCTTCATCTCAGCATCCCGTTCTTCTCCACATCCCTCTGTCAAATGCCAGTTTACTATTGCGAGGCGTGAGCTTAGTTACTCTTCAAGAATAACTGTTTCAGCTGCTGTTCCATTGCACATCAGA